TGCCCGTGCCGGTCCCTCTGCCCCATGAACCCTAAGCCATCTGTCCTGTGAGTCCTCCTCAGGACCCACCACGTGCTGGGAAAAACCCCATCTCTCAGGATCCTCATTAGCTATTTATCACAGCAAAATGCAATTATTTGTGAATGTGTCTGTCTTCCCTACAAGATGGGCAGCTTCCCTAAAAGGGCCACGTGCCTTATTGATCCTTTGGGGTCCCCCTGGCATGTCTGCCCTCTAGCTGTGCCCAGTGAATGAACAACGGAAGAAATGGAGGGTATTGGTGGAACTGCAGGAATTACCAGGTGGTTCAAGTGGGGGGCTTCCCTGGCCTCTCCTTTAGTACACGTAGGCATGAATCTATTCTATCTGTTCATAAATCCAGCCCTGGCTTTATTGTACACACTCCCCCCAAAACTAGAGGTTTAAGTCCAATTCCTCACCCCCAGCCTCAACCTGAATTCTGTGTCCCTATAAGTTAAAGTTTCTTCAGAAGGGATATCAAACTGACATTTCTGTTATAAATAGCCTCTGGCTTGCTTCTAAAAGGATTACCCGAAGTATGGGGATCCCCTACTGCTTTTTCTTGCCCTATGAAGTTCTCTTTAACGGGTCCCTTGTGAAGCCAGACAGAAACCTTAATTTGCTCACCACAGCCAGATCTGGAAGTTCCTGCTGCTTGGCTCTACCCGCTTCTCCTCCCAGGTGTGTTTGGAAGCAACACACGGCACAGGGAAGCCGTGATGAGCCGAGAGAGGAGCCGGCCGTGCCATCAGCTGGCGGTTTCTGTATGAGTCTGATTATGAGGATGAGAGAAAAAGAGGAATCGTTTTTTAGCAAGAAGTCAGCCTAGCAAGGCTGCCAGCACATAGTGAGTGCTGAGTAAATCTGTGCTGAGTCGGGGCAGGATTGTGAAATAGAGCGCCTCCTAGCTCCTCCAGAAACAGGCTTCAGGATGCTGTACGACATAAATTTCATGAACAAATGATATGCCTGTGTTCCGATTTAAATATAAAAGTGTCTCCAAGGTCAGTAGGGATGACTTGAGGTCATCATACTTTAGTTCATCTCCTGGCTCCTCCAGGTGGGATTCCTGGACCAGTGGCCTCAGCATCCCACCCCCACCCCCAGAGCTCCATGGAGATGCAGGCTCTCAGACCCCACCCCGGACCTACTGAGCCCAAACCAGTGTTTGAACAAGATCCCTGGGTAATTTGTATGCACAACTCTCATCTGAGGGGAAAGATATTCAAGAAAAGATCCCATTGGCTGATGTCCGGTGGAATGAATTTATGGTTCTACTTCTGGAACAAACTAGTGGCTTGAAACAACAGAGATATATTCTTTCACATTCTGGAAGGCCAGAAACCCAAGGTTCAGGTAGGTGTCAGCAGAGTAGTTTCCTTCTGAAGAACCAGAAGGAGAGAGAATGTGCCCCATGCCTCTCTCCAGGCTTCCCAAGGTGGCGTCAATCCTTGTCATTCCCAGCCTGTCATCATGTGATCTTTCTCCCTGTGTATCGGTATCTTTTCTCCCCTTCTTGCACAGACACCAGTAATATTGGGTTAAGGACCTACTCTACTCCAGCTTCACCTCATTTTAATTACATCTATAAGACATCGACACTATTTCCAAATAAGGATATGTTCTGAGGTTCCAGGAAGGATATGCCTCTTGGAAGGGACACCGTTCAACCTAGTACATCCGTCTAACAAACACAACAGAGATGAGTGCAGTGGGGATAATGCTGGAGAGATGTCAGGCTCCTTGAGATTCACCGTCTACTCCTGATGGTGGCAGATGGCACAATGGCATGCCAGGTGGACCACAGGCAGTGTGTTGCCCATTGCTTGATGTTCCAGGAGAGCTTTGTGTCCTTGGAAACACTCTGGGTTAATTGATCGAGAAATACAAAGGATGTTGTCCTGTTTTCCTTTAAGGCATCAGCTATGGCTGTGAGTCTGAGAAAATAAGAAATCATGACAGAAACCCAGCATCCCTGACTGAGACCAAAACCAAACTGAGAAAGGAGAAGGATATTTTTTTAAGATTTCATTTACTTATTTTGAGAGAGCATACACAAGAGGAGAGGGGGAGAGAGAGAATCTGAAGCAGACTCTGTACTGAGCGGGGAGGGGGGCCCAAAGTGGGGCTGGAGCTCATGACCATGAGATCACAACCTGAGCCTAAACCAAGAGTCGGACACTAAACCAACTGAGCCACCCACGTGCCCCAGAGAAAGATTTTTAATTCTGTAGATGCTAGGTAGCCAGAAAAGTTCTACAGATAAGGGACGGAAGTTTGTTATTATGTGACATGCTAAGCTGAGAGTCCAAAATTAGACCCAGAGAGAAAGAGAAGTTCAGAAATGTGATCTGGGGACCCTCTGGGCCAAGGTGAAGCAGCTCTGAGGATGGAGCTGGTTCCATTTGTTTCCTTGACCTTTGCTGAGGAGCATCCCCTGGACAGGTTTGTCGGGACTCAGGTAGTGTCCTGGGAGAGATCACTGTCTGTGCAGAGATGTGAGGCATTCCCTGAATTCTGAGAAGTGGATGTAGTTTCCTAAAGATGCAGGGAAGAGGTTGGAGATATTTCTTCTCTTGGTGAAGACAGGGTTAGGGAAGGCTTCACAGAAATGCCCTCGAGCTGGGGGCTGAGAGAGGGGCTCTTAGGCCAAGCAAAGCAGCCATCCGTCTAGGGCCTCAGCAGGCCCACGGCCATCGATAGTAAAAATCAGCCCAATCTGAGTCCCTGCTGCCCTACTCTGGCTTTCCATGAGGACTCTAAAGAAGGAGGGATATAGAGGAAAAGAAGGGACCAGATTTCTGGAAAGGGGCCTGGGCTCTCACAGGCTAGTCAAGAGGGCAGACCCTGCTGGGCTGCGCAGAAGTCCTGCCCCTTTGTCCACACTCAGCCTATTCCATTCCAGAGCTTGGGTACCACTATATAAGGGCTCACTTGTTACCTGGCATCGCACACTCGGCCACCAGGCAGGGCTTACAAAGTGACTCTCAAATTTTCTGGGAGGCCCCAGTGTGAATTAGTGATTTTCCTCTGCAGAGACTGGATGTTGTCTGAATGTTTAGAAGCCTCCAGGCAGCCTGAGACACGTGACCAGGACGTGTTTCCAGGGCTCTTAGACAGGGAGGCTGCCCCTGCCTGTGACCTTCCTAGTTTGCGTGAGGAGCGAGGCCTCCCTCCAGCAGAAGGATGGGGTTGGGCTTTCCATCAGGTCTGACAAACACAGGCCCAGGGGGCCTTGCATCCTGGCTGCATCCTGCTGGGAAGCACTCGGGGACCAGAGAGATGCAGTGGGGCTGACATTTCAGCCTTTCTCTGGTGTCCTACAGAAGATAGAGATGTAAAGATGACGCGGCTGGCAGTGGGATTTTTTCTATGCTGCTGGATTCAACTCCTGTCTCGAGCTGACTTTGTCTTCAATGAGGGAGCTTGGCTTTTAGAAACCGAGTCATTTTTCACAAGCAAATGGCCTATGGGCTCCCAGGGGTAGAGCGTTCCCTCCCAGGGAAGAGGAGGAGGGAGCAGGCGGGATTTGTAACAAACTTGTCGAGATAGAGCTGCTGCCTGATGCTCTGGCCCCAGAGATGAAAGGAACCTTTAACTCCCTTAACAGCTCCCCTAGCAGCTTTAACTCCTTTAACCCCCTAACAGAGCTGATTTCATAGGGAAAAGCACACAGTCCCGGTCCCCGTTCATTCCAGGTTCGTTCATCTTTGTGGTTTCTACCAGCAAATGGAAGAGGCCGGACTTCTCGTTGGTCCTATTAATCAGACGTGGCCAGAGCTCTCTCCCACCCAGCAGGGCCAGTTTCATGGGCTTGCTAACTGTGTGGTGCGACGGGACCTGCGCTCCAAAGGGCCCTGGGCTTCATTGAATGCATGCTCCACTGTTTGTCTCAAAAGTCTTCATAATTTTTGAACAAGGAGCCCTTGGTTTCATTTTGTACAGGACCCTACAAATTGTGCCGGCCCCATTCTGTGTGCCGGGCTCACCCCCACTCCCCCATTTATACCTCCCTCATTCTCCCTCACCCTTCAATCTTGGCTTCAACATCCCTTCTACGGGATGGAATGTTATATAATATTGATCATTTAATAACTTGGCCAATGTTCATTGAGTCTGTACTGCATTATGCACTGAGCTAGGTGGTCTATGTGGATTTTCTCATTTCATCCTCACAACAACCCATCAAACAGCTTTCTTGATGGGTGGGGAGATTGAGGGCCTTGTCCCCTCAAGGAGGACACTAACCTTCTATGATCGGGATGAGAAAAAACAGTCATTTAGAGTTTGAGTATTCAGTGTCCCCGCCCAAAGGAGCAACCCCTCAGACTACTCCGAGGCAGGTCAGCATGGCCCCTTCTAGAGCCCACCTGTGACAAAGGCCCAGATTCTTCTCCTGCTGGGGAGCAGAGGGGGTGGTGACACAGGACCGAGATCTTCTCTAGAAGAAGACTCAGAGGGCTGCATCCTCACTCAGCTCTTGTACTAACTTGCTTTGTTTTCTGGGCTGCTGCCAGAGACTCTGGGCCTACATTCCTCTAACTATGAATTGAAAGGTCTAACCTAAATAATTTCTTCCAGCCCCAGAGAGTTGTCGAATCTTTTATTCAGAACTTCTGGGTGGGATGGGATCGCTCTCAGACCACTGAGAGATCTAATTTTTTATTAAGATGGTCCAGCACTAGTCCCCATGATTAAACATAAAAGGGCAATGATATTTTGTTTTATTGGAACCATAAGCATCTAGAACACTTGTGTAATCATAGGCCGTTGGTCCGTCCTGTGCATGCCAGTGGGTCTTTGCCTTTGCTTAGTCCCACAGGGTTTGTTTTTCCTGTCAATAGCTGTGGCAAACATTGGGCCGTTCCTGCCTAGAGTGGGAATCAATATATTTTCCATGTACCATTAGTGTCCCTGTTAAAACTGGTGAAGTGTCCTGTTTTTTAAAAAAGTATGTGTCCTTCTACCCAAACTCGCAGGTACAAAGGATTTAAAGGCAACTGTTCTATGACCTTCATCGATCAGTTTAAAGCACTACACCAGTGTAACAAGTATTGTAAAATGCTGGGGCTGAAATCCCTTCAAAACAACAGCCAGAAACAGAAGAAGCCGGGTGTCAGCAAAAGCAAAACTCAGCCAAACTCCACAACCACAAAGAAGTTGGCGTCCGGGACCCCAGCAGAGAAGAGAAGCTCGCATCCCCTGTGAACCAAGGGCTGCCGGCTAGCAGCACAATCTTGTGGGCAGAAATCTGGAAACACCCAAGAAGAGGACACTAGCCTGCCCAGCGGTGTGACAATCCGACAATCCGATTTCCAGCTGCTTCCAAACCCATCACCTGCTGTCTTCCCTGAAATGACTTGGGGGGCAGGACTCGTGACCAGACGTCTGGAGAGACGGAGTCGGCTGTCACTCCCGAAAGACAGTCCATCTTTGTGCCCAGCTTTACCGACTTCGCGTTGTCTATGTGTTTGTTTTTGCACGTGGCTGTGTTGTCCAGGACTCAGTGCTGACCAGGTCTGTCCAGGGCCCAGGCCCTCCCCCACCCCCCCCCCGTCCCTAATCTGGGCACTCCCAGCCGCATCCAGCTGCTGTATCAACAGAAAACATGAATACCTCTGCTGGGTCAGGTCACGCTATTGCTGAGTGTGCCCCTTGCTGCCACAGGCGGCCTCTAAGACATAAGGCCATTTCCTTCGTTATCACACATGTGGCTACAGTTCTCTGTTTAATTAAATTCACATTTAAACAAAATGGGTGAGATGCGTAGATTGGCACAAACGCTTGCTCTTTGGCATCCGTGCCCCAGGTCACGTTCCCCCAGGATCAGTAACTTGGTAATACCCTCCTCGTCCTCCGTTTACTGGAGCAGGACATAGGTGCATCCGTGTTTCCTCCCCGCTCCTGCATCATGGCTTTGCTCTGGGGAGCCAGGCCTGAGCCCACGGGGTGGCACCAGGGGATGTTGCACAGCCTGCGGGGGCGCGCCCCAGCTCATGGGGACCCCACGTCCCACTGGGTCTCCTTCCCTGCCAGAGGGGATCCCACCCGGCTGTAGGGCAGAAGGGCCTACCAGTTGACACCAGGCAAGAAGAAATGACAGAAGGACAGCTCAGGGATGGGATTGTGCACCCCAAGCTGAGAATGTCTGCTCCCCGCACCCCGATTGGTTGCACAGGTTGTAGAGTTAACAGATTATTTTTGAGAGCAGTTTTGGGCTTACAGAAAAATGAGTGGCAAGTAGAGGGTCCCCGTAGGCTCCCTCACCCCCACTCCACTGTTTGGCCCTATTACCCTCATCATGCATCAGTGGGCCACGTTTACCACGCTTGAGGAGCAAGTGTAATACGTTGTGATTAACTGAAGTCCAGGGTTTACATTAGGGCTCACTCTTCCGGCTGTACACTCCCTGGGTCCTGGCACACACGGAATGACGTCCATCCACTGCTGCAGCATCATGCAGAGTGCCTCCTCCGCCCTCCCAACCACCTGTGCCCCACCGATTCATCTTCTCTCCGCCCCCCACCCCAATCTCCAGTAGCCACTGGTCTTTTAGGGTCCCTGTAGTTTCACTTTTTCCAGAATGTTGTAGACAGTAGTTGGAATCCAGAGCACGCAGCCTTCTTAAGGTTTTTTTTTTTTTTTAATTTTTATGTATTTATGATAGTCCCACAGAGAGAGAGAGAGAGAGAGGCAGAGACATAGGCAGAGGGAGAAGCAGGCTCCATGCACCGGGAGCCCGACGTGGGATTCGATCCTGGGTCTCCAGGATCGCGCCCTGGGCCAAAGGCAGGCGCCAAACCGCTGCGCCACCCAGGGATCCCACGCAGCCTTCTTAGATGGCTGTTTTTGAAGATGATTTTATCTCCTCCCTGACCCTACTGTTGGGTCACCTCTAAGCTGCGTGACCAACACTGCTCAAACAAGTACACACGGGTCACCCAGGATCTTGTGAAAATGCAGGTTCTCACTCAATACGTGTGGGGTGGGGCCTGAGACTCTGAATTCTAGCACACTCCCAGGGGTTCTCCACCCTGGCCAGGGACCCCACTCAGAGAGGGTGTCTACACCACAGGGCCCCAAAATGTTGAGGGGAGCGCTGGACCTCCTAGAATTCCAACCACAGTCCCCTGGAGGAGCACCGGCTATTTCTTAGCAGCTTGACAACAGGGAGGTGCTGGCCCCAGGCCTGGCGAGCACCCCATGGGCCAGCGCGGCCTCCACAGAAGACTCCTGGCTTCAGCTCTAAAATACTGTTCTTGGGCACAAGCTTTGGATTTAAAAAAAAAAAAAATTCAATGAGATTTTTGTTTTGAAAAGGGATTTGGAGAAAATCCTTCCACCAGTCACATCTCATGTTTTCAGACAATCTGCCATCTCCAGCCATCCCTCTGAAGTGATTCCCTGGCTACAGATCCTAAAATGCTCATTTTTGTATGAGTCAGCCTGCAGCCTGCTTTCCCCAAAGAGATCCTACAGGTGCATTTAGCCACGGAGTTCTAGAAGGTTCTACAACAGCAGAAGGGCACAGGGTGCATTCTGATCAGAATGAGTGTATGTATATATACGCACATATCGACTTAGTGGGTGTGACCAGAGCCCTCTCAACAGACCAGGATACTTCCTTTAGTGATCATTTAGAATTATAAACATAAGATCGGGGGGCTCCTGGGGGGCTCAGTCGGTTAAGCGTCTGCCTTCAGCTCAGGTCATGATCTCAGGGTGCTGGGATCGAGCCCCACATGAGGCACCCTTGGCTCAGCGGGGAGCCTGCTTCTCCCTCTCCCTCTGCTGCTGTTCCCCCTGCTTGTGCTGTCTCTGTCAAATAAATAAAATATATATTTTTAAGATTTTATTTATTTATTCATGAGAGACACAGAGAGAGAGAGAGAGAGGCAGAGACACAGGCAGAGGGAGAAGCAGGCTCCCTATGGGGAGCCCGATGTGGGATTCGATCCCAGGTCTCCAGGACCACACCCTGGCGGAAGGTGATGCTAAACCGCTGAGCCACCCGGGCTGCCCAATAAACAAAATCTTAAAAAAAAAAACAAAAACAAAAACCCACACATCACATCAACACAAGCAATAAAAAAATAAAAAATTATAGTAAGGTACAAAATGAAAGGTCAAAGTCCCCCTGTAACCCTCTTCCCCTCTGGCTGGCTTTGAAGTTTCATCTGGACGGTTGAAGGGAAAGCTTTTCTACTCCCAGATTTTGCATTTCACAGTCAGCCCACGGGTAGCTCTCTTGGATGCAGCTGTCCTTTCCTCCTTCCTAGATTTTTTTTCTTTCAAAGAGCCATTATTGTTTATTATAATCTGATCTCATCTGTCTGAAAATATTGGGAGGACCAGGGACGGAAGGGGCGCCCGGGAAGCCCGCGGTGGGGTTTGTCCCAGCCAGGGCTCCCATGGATGGCCTTTGTGGGGCCGTGTGGCTGTCTGTCCACCACCCAAAGCCTGACCTTCTGTTTGAGATGACAGGCTGCTTCCCTTGCACGAATACGGTAAGTGTGCAGCGGGTTCCCATACAGCAAAGATACCGTCCTGGGCTCTCACAAGTATCCACCCTGCTTGCCTGCTTAGGTCTGTTTGTAACACGTTCAGTTTCCACGATTTTCCTGCCTGTCTTCCTAAGTGGGTAAGCTGAGGCACTGAACTGGGCCAGCCTCGTGGGCCCAGCCGGCGACTCTGCCCCCGAGGCCCTCAGGCTGCTCATACACGTTGAGTGTCTCCATTTCCCAGAGGGCCTGACTGTGGACCTCTGCGACGGGCAGAGGACAAAAATAAATGAACGTCTCATTGAAACGGGCTCATGTTCTCAACAGCAGGTTTTATCACTAATGAGAATGGCAGAGCCGATGCCCTCTTGCCAATGGGCATCATGTCCTGGAGGGGGGCTCGCCATGGATGTGCAGACAGCTGGCTCGGGGTAATATTTCACGTTACCTTAGTGTGCCAGCACCTCCCCAGCCAACGTTTCTGATAAAGCCCCAGGTTAGTGAAGGATTGCAATAGATTCATGGTAAAAAGAATGTAAAAATAAAATAGAATAAAATAAAATAAAAATAAAAAATAAAAAGAATGCCAAAAGAAGCAACAATTATTTTCTAATTATAAAGTACTCGCTTGTCTAAGTATCTTTAGTGTTTTGTGTGTGTGTTGGGCATGTGTTCAGCTGGCTGCAGACACGGGGAGCCGACCGCAGCCTGGTTCAGTTTGCTCGCTGCCTGGAGGTTCTGCTGCACTGGACCATGTGTGCGAAAGTGAACAGATTGGCATTTCTCCCCCACTTGGATCTGCAGATGCCACTTGGGCTCAAATAGTTTAAAAAAAAAAAATCAAAGAGACACCAAAACCCCTCTGCCTCCCAGCACAGGGTGTGTTTTCCAACTCTTTGCTGGAGCAGCTTTGAAATCCTCTGAGAGCCTGTCTGCACTAAAACCGTTTTGTAAGAGCCTTCAGCCCGACGGATGCCGCGCTCCTCTGCGTGTTCACGTGAGCACAGGCTTCACTTTTGTGATGCAATAAACAAATATCGACAAGTACTCACTGTAGCACCAGATCAAGAATTTTTAAAAGACTTTTTAGGAGAGCCTTAAATGGTTCCAGATAGAAATCATCTCAGAGGCTTTTTTTTCCTTCTTTTTTTTTTTAAGATTTATTTATTTTCGAGAGAGAGAGAGAGAGAGAGAGAGAGCATGAGCGGGAGGGGCAGAGAGAGAAGGAGAGAGAACCTCAAGCAGACCCCGAGCTGAGCACAGAGCCTGACACAGGGCTCCATCACACCACCCTGAGATCCCAACCTGAGCCGAAACTGAGAGTCGGATGCTTAACCAACTGAGCCACTCAGATGCCCCCCAACCCCAGGCTTTTTTTTTCCCCCCAAAAAAGCCACATGTTGTTGATCAGAGTTGACCCAGAAAAGCCAGTCTGTCCACTTCCATTTTAGGGAAGGAAGTTTCCATCTTAGTATCAGAAGCAGTTTGAAGGATCTCACCTCTATCTTCCTCTCCATCTCCTCACTTCCTCTTTCCCTATGTCCAGGAGGAATGAGAAGACAGTGGCTCCTTCCCACCGGAAGCTGCCCCTGGTACTCTCTCTGGTGGCTGTGTCAGTCTCCTGCCATAACAAGGGGCCACAGCTTGGTGGCTTCCATAGAAGAAGCTTATGGTCTCCTAGTTCTGGAGTCCTGAGTCCTAGCTCCCGGCATTGGCAGGGCCACAATCCCACGTGGTGCCAGGGAAGGCTCTGCTCCAGCTGCCCTGCTGGCTTCCCCGCCGCACCAGGACTCAGGGCTTCCTGTGTAAGTGGTGCTCTCCCCACGTGCACATCTGTGTCTGAATTTCTCCCTCTAATCAGGACACCAGTCCTACTGGATGCGGGTCCACCCTGGTGACCTCATTTTAATTGGGTTCAGATCCTATTTTCAAATAAGGTCACACCCTGAGGTCTTGTGAGTTAGGACTTCAACGTATAAGTTCTAGGGGAGACAATTCAACCCATACAGCGTCCCTATCTTTCACACCCTCATTCTGGGCTGCTCATTCAGGCTAGGCGGCCAGGCCAGAGGAAACCGGCCTGGTGCACGTACTGCCCGCTAAGGGCCTCCCTGACCTCACGGTGGGCATCAGCCCCCAGGATCTGTCCCTGTTCTCTTGAAGCCCACCCAAACCTCTCACCCTCAACAATCTCAGGGAAAGATCTTCATATGGGTGCCTCAGTTTCCTCTCCTAG